AAGCCACAAACCTACGAATTATGAGTTTGTACTTCTTTAATTAGCTAAACAGATCATTTATTAGTATTAATAATTTTATTAGTATTAATAAAATGCAATAGTTAGTTTCCGAAAAATAAGGGGGTGTCACTTTAGAAGACCTATGTCAATATCGGCGACTTTCCTCTAATATTTTTGCTTATATAGTATGTTAATTTTTCTTTATTAATAAATTTAATTTAACTCAGGGTCTTTTTTTATTAGGGATATTATTGAATAATATTATTCATCAATATCAAAAACATAAATATAGTAGAAATAATTTGCTATAGCCGACAGCCTTTTGTGGAATAATTTTTGGAATAATGTGTATTTTTATTATAATGTCCCGTACCAAGAGAAATAGAGATGAATCTTTTTTTCTCGCTATTTGAAATCGCGTCATTTAACTTCCCTCGTATCTCGCAGCAGAAAATATTATGACTTCGATGTTTTACTAGACAGTAAGCTGACGTGGTTGTTAAATATTATCTACGTATTGCATTCGATCACAGATTACAACTGAAAACTTAAGATGTATATACATGTATATGATAAGATATATATACATATATTGTTGGGAATATGGCAACGTTGTGCAAAGTATAATGGTATTTATCAGGCGTTTTGTACTGATATGGGGTTTGATACGTTACTATAAATAATAATTGTTTGTCCTAGATTTTATAATGCTCTTACAATTACTATAAAGCTAAAAATCACATTTAAATTTATTAAAAAATATAATATATGTACATTGTACACTCTGTCACATATACACATAAATAAAATAATAAAATATAAACTTTTTAAATAGTATTATATTATTATAATATTATTGTGTTATTTTATTTTGTCTATTATATCTCTTCTAAAAATTTATAAATTTCCTTTATGTTTGTCTATTATATCTCTTCTACAGCCGCTTTTACTAAAGCATCTTCTATAAGAAACATTATTTAATCAATATTTACGTTTACATGTGCGTTTACATGTGCACTGCATTAGGTCGTTAACATCGTTACAACGATAGTCAGTCTTTTCCTCGAATCTTATGATCATTTTATCAAACAACCTGCAAACGCTAATGGCCCGTAAGAATTTGTGGAATAATAATGCATCGATAGAACGAAGAAATGGCTGTGCATGCCGCTTTGACTATCACTTGCAAGAACATCAGAGCGTGTGCTGCTTTTTCAATGAGATTTCAAGAGCTTGATTTACATGCACGACAATTACCAAACATTGTATCCATCAAAGTGGAACCGAGCATTGTAAGAAGAAAGAATATAACGAATATACTAGAGAATAAATAAAGTATGCGAGGGAAGATTCGGAAAGATAAAAAGTATATATACATATGTACTTGTGTATCTAATTATAAGAGATAAAAAAACATGACAAGAGCACCTTTCATTATACCATATTATTAAATCGAGAATACTTCCGAACGAGGTTTTTCTTACTGCAGCGATATAAAACAAGTACCAAGCAATTTTTAAAGATTATTTACATAATTCATTACTTATTTATATTAATATTTATTTAGGCAAACATTTTTTAGTTAAGCAAGAAGAAATATATTCTCTCTTGCTGGTAAACTATAATAAAAATTCTTTAAAAGAGAGAGAGAGATTTAAATTAAATAATTTAATTGTCGTGTGTACTATGAATAATGTAATTATTATAGTAAATCAATTTGATCCTAATAAATGAACAACATTATAATTAATGTTGAAAGCAGTAAGTTAATAAATGGTAAATAAATTGTAAATTAATTTCTTTCCTCGTTGTACAAGCCTCATTATAAATATTAAAGTTGTAAATGGTATGAATTTTTTTCTTGATTATGAATATATAAAATGTATACAAATTTGAATTAATCATGTTCATAACAAGTTAAATGTTAAAAACTAATTTTATTAATATACACTTCTGATAAAAATAGCTAACAATCTATTTTTATGATTGTTAAATAAATATAATTAATTCACAATATAACATATTATATACCGCATATGTGATAACACAAACTATAGAAATCAAAGTCTTAAACGGTCTAGCTGGATCTTAAATGCTTGTATGATTCTTGTGTGAATTTATATACTACGTATGTAGTCCCCAGAAACGCGCGCCGAAATGATTATAACTCTATTAAACTACCACATATATCACGAGTTGAATTGACTAGCAATTTAACAAATATTTGATGCTTATTCGCATCTTCGATAATTAACTCACTCTGTGTTTCAGAAAATACAATTTCTCACGTGTCGGGGAAACAATAATACACATATCTATTAGATGTTGCTTAAAAGTTGGTTTACGAATAAAAATAAAAATTCAATAGTGTTTTCCTGCAGATTTATTGATTAGAACTAGACAGCGAAAAAAACGATGTATACAGATCTCGGAATATATCTTAATTAAATATGGATATGAGATAAGAATGCAGATGAGGTAGCGATATGTACATATATGATACATAAATACGTAATATATAACAAATTTGTATGATCGCTGAGTTCACATCTTAAAAATATTAAGTTTGCTGAAAAATAATTCTCATTTATCATATAACTATTTAAAATGTTTCATATCTACGGCAAATAATTAAATATTAAAATCTCTAGACATGAATCTTTCCTTAAACTCTGTCGTAAACTTAAGCAATATCACGGTTGAATATCTTGATGATAACAGTACATGACAAAATTTCGATATCAAATGGAAAATACATTGTTTATACTTTATTTAATGTATTTTGTGTGACATACGCAAATGAAAAGAAATTAAGTTCTTAAGTTATTATGATAAATCTTAAAACCTCTAGACATTAAGCTTTCCTTGAACTCTATCTTAAACTTAAGCAATATCGTTGTTGAAATACTTTGAGGATATATATATATATGCAAAAACACATTACATTAACAGAATTTCGATATCAAATTAAAATTGAAAATAAATTATTACTTCATTTCATGTAAAAGAAATTATTATCATTATCTAGAGTAATTTATATATATATTTGCAGATATTTTTTAAATAAAAGTAATATAACATATAGAATCTCTCAGACATTATATCTTAATTAATTTATTTTGATTCTCTCATTCATTTAAATGTACCAAATACATTAAAATAATTAAAATACATTAAAACAATTTCAATATAAAATGACAATGTTGATTTTATACTACTTAAAAAATGCAATTTTAATTTTGAAACTATTTTAGTTTTGTAAATATTTTTTAGTAAATATATCTGAAGATTTAAGAACACGCAGTACAAGAATTTAGCAATTAAAAAATTTCAAAGGTATATATTATAACAATGCTCACACACAACAAAAAGTAATGGTTACCTGGACAATAAATAATAGGTTCAACTGCTAACATGCTTAATAATTCTCACGTCGGAATGAACACATGAGGCAGTTATTTAACGTAGTAAACAAGAATAATTACGCGAGGATAATCATCTTATCAAATAATTCTATTTCTGAATTAAATAGATAATTAAGTCATGTAATAAGCAATATCTCTTAAAATAATAAATCTTTCTTTGGGATAAACAATTCTATTTTTCCATAATTTTGTATAATTTATTCTGCTACTAATTTTGATTTTTACTTATGTTAATTAAGAACTAGTTATAAGATGACAATTATAATCTGTTTATAGTTTGACAAATAAGTCAAATTATAAAGATAAAATACATATACTATCACAATAAACAAATTTTGCACAAAGAGAACATCACATGATTGAAATTTACAAGTATGACATTAATATTGAAAAAATGTAAAATGTACCTAATAAATCAAACAATTATCATCTTAGAATAATAGAAAACAATATGACTGAATGGTAGCTTTTATTTTTCTTTTTCTTATTATGAATTTCTGTTCCTGTTGTGGAACAAAGCACTATGATTTATGATTATATTATCCAGTTATATATCTTAAGATTTGTTTTTGTTTTTCGTTCTTATTTTAATCACAGTAGAATAATACCTTTCTACTATAAAAAAAATTCTCTATATTATACTTAGGACCCGAGAATTAAACCTGGATCTTTCTTGGTAGGTGACTGCTCTATTATTAAGCTATCCAACGCCCCCAGTATACCGGAACACTGAAGGGGTAAATCGTGCTTCGATGCGGCGCAGCTCTTAAAAACAGGGTCGCGAAGAACGTAGGAACCGAATGCACCGGCTGCTCACCCTTCCGCATGCTTTTCGGACCTCGTGCAGCAACGAGATTAAACGGCCCTTCTGTACATCACGGCGTGGCACGTTACTTACGCAACGTTATGTGCGCTTCGTTGAAGGGGAGAAAGAGGGAGGACGGGGATAAATGGAGAGGCGAAACGGTGACTGGAACGGAGGGACAGAGGAAGAGACAGAGATGCACGAGCTACGCAGAGAAACGATAAAACGAGTACGAGAGACGAGGCTCGAGAAAAATATAGAAGGAGAAAAGGAAAGACTTCACGCACACACGCGCGCAGAACGCACACCGTGGCCGAAGGATCGTCTACAAAGTACAACGCGTGGGACAAACAGAAGTGCGTTTAACAAAGAGGCTCACCGAAATCATTATGTCTTTTCTTTTTTAACATCGTGATTTTCCTTCATTCATATTGTCTTCTATGCGAGCTGACTTTTAACCTAACTTAAAAATAACTCTGAATGCGAGTTTAGTTGTTCAGCAAAGTCAAAGCGTTCAAGTATTCACATATCCAATTCCTTTTTTGTCATAACAGTGACGGTCGACGATCTGAGAATATATATTGAAGGTTAACAAGAATCATTTTTTTAGAATGGATATACTCCTTTTTTATTATTCATCCCTTCCTCAATTTCAATATTTTTAATTTAAACTTTAATAAACTGTTTAAATTAACTTTTCTGAAACTGGAATATCAACGAACGTATCTACAATTTTTAAGTTATAAATAGTAAAAGATAAAAAGTTTTTTTTTAATGTAATAAGTATTATTTAAATTAAGAGTTAAACTTTTTATAATTTTTAATTACTCTTCTTAATTAGCGTAATCAGGTGTTGCACAGAATATAAAATATACGATATCGAAAAAGGCATGAGTTTATGACTTAAAATAAGTAAAAATAATAGAATAAATTGTTTTCATGTAAGGTGTCGTTTTTGAGAAAAAAAACTTTGAAAGTTAATCAAGTACGTGCACTTGACTTATATTTAACGTAATAGTATGTAACGTGATAACAGACTTTCTGTATAATTTTTTTTGCTATCAGAACTAACTGATTAAATTAGTTGACTCTTAAGAGCAGTTAAGTGAATTTGTGTAAAATGAAAAATAATTTTTTTTATTTCTTAAACACTTATTTCTTATTTAGTTGAAATATTGTTGAAAATGTTGGCCGTATATAAAGTTGTATTCTATGAATTTTCTCTCTCTCTCTCTCTCTCTCTCTCTCTCTCTCTCTCTCTCTCTCTCTCTCTCTCTCTCTCTCTCTAACATTGTTTCTCCTATTAATTCTTCTTTTAAACGTAAGAATAATTTTACATACTTGATTAACCTTTAAAATTCTTTTCCTCGAAAACGAAATTTCATTTGAAAAAGAATTTATTTTATTATTTCAACTTATTTTAAACTATAAGTCACAGTTGTACCTCAATTCCTCCTGTATAATATTTCGAATCAATCTAAGTCCTGCTATTTCAACCAAATTTTATCAACTTATTTTTTGCTGTCAAATTCAAACTTAATATAAAACTTCATAATAAACAAATTTTCTAGTCGGCATAAACTCCAACTACAATTTTCATATCTTGAATCTGCATTGCCGTATTCATGCATTGAATAAACGTGACTTTGTGTTTAAAACTATCGCGTTTCAAAATGCATTAAAACTATGAAAACTCTTTAATCTCTCACAAAGTATTTTTACGAGATAAGAGTTTCCGCTTTTCTTTCTGAGCGCGAGAAGAATACGTACCTGCACCGTTCACAGGATACGACGCGTGGAGCAAATAGAGGAGCGCCAGGGCGAGGAGGCTCG